CATACCAGGTCCATTTCATTATTGATCACACAAATGTATTAAACAGGGATGTGTTTGGTGTGATGTTCATGCTGGGAACATGGTGGGGGGAGGAACAAATATTTAGCAAAAACATTGCATTAGTAATAGTACTATTATGCTTAAAGATGCAGTCTTTAAGCAACATGCTGTTGTAGTTGGTTATGGTACTAGCAGACTGTGGGACAGTCCTCTAGTTCTGTGTCACACTGTTTTATTGTCTTGACGAAAACCTGATTCACCAGATGTCCATTGTCAAGTCTGAAAGGGTTAATCGACTTCTCTTTAACTCCCTCAATTCTCGAATATCCAATCACCACATCAATTGATGGGAGTTCTTGTTTAGCAAATAACGACAGACACGAAAGAGTGCTCTAACAAGTTCTCAAATGAGTGTATTTTCAGGGCTAGCATTTATACACAGTTTGTCACGCAAGCAGCGAGATTTATCGCTTTCTTATAGTTAATAGTACATACTTGTCTGACAGTAAAAGATAAGCATTTGAATAAAGACGGGACAGGAACTGAGGTCGAGCAAGGTCGCACATCCTCTAGAAAGAAGACCTTGGTACAGCATAATTATTTCAAACAGTATTTTAAAGCATATAAAGCAAAAAGAGTTTAACTATTTCATATCCTTACAGTCAGCGCTAATGATTATAAACCTTATCTAAGCATAAAATACATATGAACAAAGAAAGTTAACTACTTCATATCCTTTCATTCCCCTCTTTGAGCAAAACTTGCTCATATTATCGGTTAAAATTCTCACAGGACAGAGAAACTTCCACATTATGCCATACCCAAGCAATCATGTGGTCTACAAGAAACAGAAACTCATCAGGAAAAAAGACACATAATACTTTTGCAGACAGATATATAGAAAATTGATGTTTAAGACAAAATGGAACCTGGGCTTATAGCAAATATAGTATTGCAAATAGCTGACATGTTAACCAATTTTAAACAGACTAATCAGCCGGTCATCTGTATCATAAGTCCTGGGTAAATATGGGCAAAGTATATTATTCTCAACAGTTGTTTTCCTCCTTCGTCCATGGAAGTGGGTGCATATAGTCAAAGTGGGAATAATACCTATCCCCCGTCCAAGGACCGGGGTCTAGGATTACCAGTCCACCCGATGATCTGGGGTCAGGCAAAAAACGCAGTGGCAAAAACTCATATTTGAGGAAAAAGCACATCTGGGGAAAACCTGAGTGGGGGCCGCGATCGTGTTAGACATGTCATCCCCTCAGTTGACACCATTTGTGACTTATAATACCCACACCTGTGAGTACATAGCTCGGGTATAGGGAGGAATTGGGAAACACTTCTTACATATTAATTCATGAGATAAATTATAATCTATCTTGAAATTCTGACAATAATCACAACCAGGACCTTGCGTCCTATATTTTTTAGCCATTTCCCTATTCCAAAGGTCCAGTCAAAACTAGTCATATGCTCAGAGACAGCCTACAGATCAGGGGAGTGAGGGATGGGGGGCAGAGACAGCCTACAGATCAGGGGAGTGGGGGATGGGGGGGCAGAGACAGCCTACAGATCAGGAGTGAGGATGGGGGGCAGGACAGCCTACAGATCAGGGGAGTGAGGGATGGGGGAGGGTTTGAGAGGGGGGCAGCAGCCCATAGATTTGTGGGGCAGCAGCCCATAGATTTGGGGTGGGGCAGCAGCCCATAGATTTGGGGTGGGAAGCAGCAAGCCCATAGATTTGGGAGGAAGCAGCAGCCTATAGATTTGGGCAGCAGCCTGCTAGATTTGGGGCAGCCCATAGATTTGGGGAGGGGCAGCAGCCTATAGATTAGTGCTCATAGATTGGGGGGCAGCAGCCCATAGATTTGGGGTGAGCAGCACCCTTTAGATTTGGGGGCAGCAGCCCATAGATTTGGGGGGGGCAGCAACCTTTAGATTTGGGGGCAGCAGCCCATAGATTTGGGGAGGGTGGCAGCAGCCCATAGATTTTTGGGGGGGCAGCAGCCTATAGATTTGGGGGGGCAGCAGCCTATAGATATATAGAAATGAACAGGAAGGGTCAGCAAGGAGCTGGAAGATAAAGCAGCACAAAGGTAAAGTAGAAGGAGCAGAAAGGGTCAGAAATGAGCTGGAAGGGGCAGAAGGAGCACAAACATAAAGTAGGAGAATGAGCAGGAAGGAGCACAAAGGGACAGCAAGGAGCACAAAGGTAAAGGAGCAGAAAGAATCAGATGGAGCACAAAGGTAAAGTAGGAGGAAGAGCAGAAAGGGACAGCAAGGAGCACAAAGGTAAAGTAGAAAAGGGAGCAGAAAGGGTCTGCAAGGAGCAGAAAGGGATCAGAATGAGAAAGGAGCAGAAGGGCACAAAATAAGCAGAAAGTAGCAGAAAGGTAAAAGAGCAGAAGGGGCAAGGATAGAAAACAGTGTCAGAAGAAAAAAAAAGACTGTGAAATGAAGGAGAGGAAAAGGGGATTGGAGCAGGAAGGACAAATGAAGTCAACCCTCCACTTTATTCTGACACTATTATAGAAGTAGTATTTGCTGGATTATTTGCAAAATATCAGTATTAATGTGTTTACTTTTATTTACTGAGTGTCAGGAAGCACAGAGTGCCGTTGGGTAGGGGTGTTGCTGATTGGCTAGAGCGGTCAGCTGGCACTCTAAGCCAATCAGTAGCTCCCCATTCATAAAAAAGTAAAAATATTTTATGAACCGGGAACTAGCGATTGGCTTAGAGCGTCAACTGACCACTCTAGCCAATCAGCGGCACCCCTACCCAGCGGCCCTCTGTGCTTCCTGACACTCAGTAAATAAAAGTGAACACATTAATACTGATATTTTTTTACCTTTGGAGATGAGAAGGTCCAGCGTTTCCCTGCCAGGCCCAGGTACCAAAGCCTTATACAGAAACATTCCTAACGGATAAGAAGTAAGGCAAACAAATCTCATGGGATAATTATATTGCAATAAGTGTGTTTTCTTGCATTTCCTTTTGCCCTCTTTTACAGGCCTACCCCCTACGTCGGTTCCGGCACACCACGCTTAATTCCAGTCACAAGGTATTTCACGATACGATATTAACCGACCACAAATATATATATATATATGTATATATATATACACTGCTCAAAAAAATAAAGGGAACACTTAAGCAACACAATGTAACTCCAAGTCAATCACACTTCTGTGAAATTTAACTGTGCACTTAGCATGATGTTGGTAGTTTTGCGGGTACAGGGTTATTGTTACCTCCTGGGTTAGGCTCAGGCTGGGCTATAGGAACTGGAACCTCTGGAATGGTTGGTGTACTATTAGATTTCAGTTTATCCAGCCTATTATTAATAGTGGCTACAGAAGACACTAGGGAGGCCATCATGACGTGCAGTTCTGATATGCTGTTTTGCACGTTAAACCTGGTAACCGACAGGTAATCCCCTTGTATGGAAGCATTAGACATTATAAAGGTTTTAGGCAGATATCTTAGGTTAGAATGGAATTGTGTGGATCTGCAGTAACCCAGATTGCTAGAATAGTGCCCTGAGGCAAAATTTTATTAACTTATTATCATAGGTGGCATGTGACACCCTGACTACTTGCCAAGTGGCTTTGAGGGGCTCTACCTATGATTTGGCTCGTGGGGCTTTTGTGCCACTGACGTGGGTGGCGGGGTGTTGGCCTCTTGGTGACACGTTTTAAGATTGCATTATCGATTGGCCGTGACAAGTGAGGCCCTAACTATGATTAGAGGTAAGGCTATAGCTATGCGTTGGGCCAATTGAGCTTGGACCTCTGCTGATTGGAGCGATAATCGGCCTTGCGGGACCACTAACTCTAGGCAAAGAGGCCAATGGGAATATACTTAACTGGCGAGGGTTTATTGTAACCTGCGACCAACCTAGAGGAGTATTGTAATTCAACATACCTGTTTATTATCCTTTATGACGTATTCGGAAGTGTTTAAGAAAGACCCCTACTAAAACAAGTCATAATAATTGAGATACAACCTAACCCCCAGGAGACGACCATAGAAATTATACTGCTGGCCCTGACAGTAGATACTAACTGTAACGGAACCGCTGGCACCCCGATGATGGATGCTCCTAGTGCTTTCTGAGGACTCCAAGCACTCCGCCAGACACCATAACCACTGTAGACTCCCACGAACCGCCGCAGCTTGGTTGGGGTCTCGCGGTCTCCACCCACTCTGGACCCAAGACCAAGGTCCTATGTAAAATACACATAAGGAAATTTTCTGCAGGGTGAAGCCGAACAGTTATAACACTGTACTTTAAGAATTGTATAAACGTAACAGCCATAGATACTATATGCAGCTTGTTTAGTGAACAATAGTAACATAGGAAATTTAAACGTGAGACTAATGGAACCATACAAATCTGAAACACGAAATGCAGTACCAGTAGCGGTGCTGCAATATTAAATTCCATTATCTCCGCTGGTACAGAAGGTAATCCAAAGTCAAGTGCTGAAAAGTAAGGCAATATACCAAACCCCCATAACCGGACGAAACACAGTTCTGGGAGTCAACTGAGGTTTTTATTCATAGGTCACAGTATTTATGCAAGTCCCCATGCAAGGGGTTTCCCTACTGACATTGCAGGGGTTATACAGTAGGGGACTACATGGGGGACTGAACAACCTGGATATTTTTCCCATCAGGCACTGCTGGACGAGAGGGATACTCCCACTGGAATGTAACGTTAAGTGGATTATCCCTCCGTGCAGCAGAGACGACATTTTACATTAAAATACATAACTTTGCCAATATTCATTTTATTTAGAGGAATGGACGTTCGGTAGATAGCTGGGGTCTGAGTGCACATTTCGTGAGAATACCGCTTAACCTCTTAACCTCTTGATCCCAATTAGAACGTTGTGGTTAACCACAGACACTTCTCAATTAAACCGAATTCAGGGTGGGCGTCGTTCGTATGTCGACTGTAGAATATTGCATATTCTATGTTTCTATTGATTATATATGGATGTGTGGATTGACATAAGTAACAGATGGTATCAATAAGTCACAAGGCTTTCTTTGTCCGAGAGCTCTGGAATGTGGATGTGGGGGTTTTGTCCTTATATGGCTAGAGTTATATGCTGACGTTAGTATTGGCACTTCCTTATAGTAAGAGAGGGACACGAGGTGGCTCTCAGTCTACTCTTGGCTTGGCTCTGTACAACGATGTAACTCTCCCATCAGAAGTCCAGCAATTACCATCTGCTGTTGAATGTCCATTATCCTGTAACATCATTTGTTGTTTTATGTATCCGTAACTAAGAATAAACCTGAAGAAACCGTAAGTCAGATTGCGTATTACTACTTTTCAATAATATAGACATATATTATTGTGGCGAGCATTTGGCCCAAGAATATATATACAAAAGACGTATATATATCAATCAACTGAAGACAAGAAGAAATTAAGAAAGAGTCTACATGAACATCCATTCATCTACATTTTTTACATTGGCTAGCCTGCCAGTCTTCTATTCAAGTTTTGTTCCCACTTCAAGGGGGGAGAGAGAAGAATCGAGTTACAAAGCTATTTTGGAACTGGGAAAACAAACTTGAAGAGAAAAAAAGAATCTAGACTGACTGTCATAGAAGAACTGTGGTTTGTAAGAAAAATAGAGTTTTCAAATCATAAAGACTGTACAAGACTATTTTCTACAACTGAGACAAAAAGCACAAGATACAACGTGAATTCTAGAAGCAAGCACGTGGCAGACATTGGCAAGCGTCCAAGCAAAGAACTGCGCAGCTGTGTGGATGAAGCAACGAAATAGACAGAAATAACTGATCTGGTGAGTAACATGGAATTCATAAATGATATTGCAGAGAAAAGTAAATTGCAGTTTGCATTTAATAGCAGCTATTCAGATGCTGTATTGTGGCAATCTTTATACACACAATGTGAAATTGCCAATAGTGAAATTGACAAGAAATTGTTTGTTAATAAGAAAAAACAAAAGATCAGAAATGTTATGAAACTAGTCTGTACTTACAATGCAGTGATTTGTAAACGAAATACAGGTAAAGACAATTTAGAATCAGCAGAAAAAGAAATAGATTTGAATGGGTTAACAGAAGACAAATCAGATTTAAATGAACAGTGTAACAATGTAACAGAGAGAACATTGTCAGAAACAGTCTGTGAATTAGAGGATAGAGATGAACTAAGAAATGATTTTAGTTGCCAGTTTACAAATGAAGTAAAGCAAGTGTGTGTTAATACAAGAAAAGTAAAGGCACAGAATCTAATCCCAGAACTAACAGATACTGAAAATGTATCCTCACTGAGTGATTTGCAGAAATGTAAATTTCAAGACAGAACTGCAAAACTTAATTTGAAAATCCATGAACAATTAATGAAAATTGTGAAATGTATTCCAGTTTATGACACGTCAGTGGATGCATTTACTAATGCTGAAATGTTTGAGTCTAATTTAGACAAATACAGCCTAAATGACGAACAAAGGAATAGATTGTTTAAAATATGGCTGCCGACTCAAATGGCATGTAGACTGACCACGCTTGTAAAATGTGAGGACAATGATGAAATAATATATGGAAATAAGCAAGACAGATTAACACAATTAATAAAATTAACAACAGGGAATGATTTTGCAGACACTGAAATGTTGGAAAAACTAAAACCACACAAGGGGGAGGATATATTTAGTTTTCTTGTAAAATTTGAAAATGCATATAGACTTGTTGCTGATTTTTCTGAAGATCAGTTAATTAATGAATTTGTGAAAAAAATTCAAGATCTAGATCCAACTGCAATTGTGTTAGCTAGAGAAAAAAGCACTTTGACAGAAGTAGCTTTGTTCTTGGATAACTTAAGGAGGGAAACCAATAATGAAGGGGTTAAAATGACTTGTGGATTTAGGCAGAGAAAGAAGTGCAGATGTTGCAGCCCTCGTCCCCCTCCTTCTTCTTCTTCTAGGACAGAGTGTAGAGTGATACAGACAGCTGAGCCCCTCCCAATTTATTCAACTAAAAACTGTAGAGTTGATAATAAAAGGCAGAATATAACTCCTAAAGTTATTTGTTTTTGGTGCAATAAACAACATTATTTAAGATCTTGCAGATATTTTATCAGAGATATCAAATCAAAAGCAAATGAGAAATTAAATTTGTTGATTGAAAATTTTGACAGAGAAAATACATGTGGAGATAAATCAATTAAAGCCTTTCCTTGTAAACTGATAATCAGACAAATAAAAGCAATTTTAGCTAAATCAAAATTAGGAGACAGACAAGCAATGCAGTGCAACTCAGAAAGTTATAAGAATCAGAGAACTTCAAGAGATATGATCAGTTTAGGGAATGAGCATGGATATGTGTTCCAACAGATGTACACAGGCTGATTCCAGAATTAAGAACAGCACAAGAATAGAGATCTATGTTAGTTTGTTGTTTTAATGAATTGTTAGTCTGAACTGTTTTTTCATTGTTTTAGGTGTGTTATAAGAAAGTATTAGGTTAATTAATTGAAATAAAAATTTACATCAAGTTTGCAAATATGGCAGAATGAAATACACTAATGTAGCAGTTAGGAACATGCAATGTATGTTATATTGGGTGTATGCGATTATACAGTAACTCCAATCATTTTACAGAAGAAAAAACAATGTTACTTCTGAGGTTGATTTAAAATCTTTGATTTAATTCATGAGAATGAGATTTTAATGTCATGACTGATAATGGATTACTATATTTTGCAAAGCCTGGACATACATATGTTTTGATTATATAGAAGACAAAAGTTTTGATAGGATAAAACCTAGATTTACAAATACATTTGATGTAGGAAACAATATATGTTTTTTGTAGTTTGTTTCATGTGACAAAATGGTGCCAGTGTTAAGACAAAATGGCTGCTATTGCTAACGTATAGTGGAAAACAATATTTAGTTGTAACATCTGACATGTGATTAGGTTATACCTCCAGATTATTAAACAGTTTAAAAGGGGGGTATGAGTAATAAAAAGTTTGAGAATTGAGAATTTACATGTTCAGAAAGATTTTAATATAAGGAAATTTAAAGATTATACATCACATGGCATAGATGTAATGACCACTAGATGGTAGATCTCATGAGAGGATATGAGTATGTTTTGTGTAGTCAATATGATTCAATGTTAAACTGTGTAATAATAATGAGATATAAACATTGTAAGCCATTGTATTGATGCTGCACATGTTATTTGTTTTAATGTAGGTAAAGCGTGACAGATCCTTGTGGCAATAAATCAGGAAAGCATTCCTTCAGACAACTGGACATCGACTGTTGGAAAGAGACTTTTCATCTGATCGGCAAACTGTGATGGAAGATTCTACAGAGTTCATTCGATACAGAAGATTAACAGACTTACAAAGAAATAAAAGATTGACACTAACATACATATTAATTCCTAAATATTAACAGAAAAGAAAACAGACAATGAAAAATTATTGAACTGTTATGAGTATTAATACCAAGAGACTAATTATAGCTATATAACACATGGAGTAAAAGTATGATAGGATAGTATTATGAAGAGAACTATTACATTATTACCTATACATAGAATGAGAAGTATCAGAGGAAAATAAAATATGAAGTTGATAAAATAAGGATCATGGTTACTTAATTCTACAAAGATTGAGTTCAATAGTATCTCATAGATTAACTATAATGAGTAATTTGTTTATAATTGAGGTGAAGTAAAACAAACAATGGTAACATAAGGAAGAAAACTAAGGAAGGATAATTTATATTGATTTATATTAAGTAAAGGTATACATTAAGAATGCCTTGGATATAAGAGTTCAGAGATCCAAGAGGAATTGAATTGAATGGAAAGAGTATAGTACACAATTATATTTGACCAAAGTCTATAAAGGTATGGACTAGGGAGAATAGGTTTCTGGATATGATGATATCCAATGAATACGTTGTTTTAAGATTTCCCTGAGTTTGTTAGACACAGACTAGGAATAAGAGTTTCTGGGCAGCATGACCCCAAGTTTATTTTATTTTATTTTACTTTAGTCAGTTGAAGTGTACTAAGGAATACGGATTGGTCAGAATAAATGTTAGGGTAACATTAGGACAATCCTGCTTTTAACCCCTTAAAACCGCAGGACGTACAATTACGCCCTCTAATAGGCGGCTCTAAACGCCGCCGGGCGTAATTGTACGCCCTCCGGTTTTTGTTAACTTACCCGGTCGCCGGCGGTCCCACGCCGGCGATCGCGGTTGGGGGGACTCCCAGGGAGCCCCCCGCGGCACATCCGTCCTCGTTGAAGCCCCCCGGCCATGTGAGAGTGGGGTCCTAGCGAGGACCCCACAATCACATGGCCGGGTATAGCTGGCTTCTGTATTGCCGGCAGGGGGGCTGCCTGTAATTACAGGTGGTCCCCCTGCTGGCTGAAAATAAAATAAAAATAAGTTAATGGTGTAAAAAAAAATAATTATATATACTTAGATCATATGTATATATTATATATATATGATCTAAGTATATATATACACATATACATACACACACATACACCGTCTAGGTGTATTTTACTATTAATATATATATAATTATATATATATATTAATATCAAATTACACGTAGACTGATACTGATTAAATATATATATAATTATTGTTATATATATATTTATATATAATATAAAAAAAATAAAAATGTAAATACGTTAAAAAATAAAATTAAAAAAATAATTAAAAATAAATAATTAAAAATATATAGATGTGTGTTATTTCGTTCTAACTGTTTTGTGAAATTAATATATATATATATATCAAAATACACGTAGAACGAAATAATATATCTATATACATAAATATATACGTATATATCACTATATATATATACCTATATATAAATAAAAATATTTTTAAAAAATTATATAGATATATACATATATATACACATACGTATATATATACATATATTAATTCTACATATATATTTATGTAATATTTTTACATAATTAGGTATCTTAATTAATTACAATTAGCGGGACCTGCCTGACAACCCATGCCGAAAGTAAAGGGAATTTAATTTGCTAGCACTATATTTAACCCTATAACTTTCCAAGACACCATAAAACCTGTACATGGGGGTACTGTTCTACTCGGGAGACTTCGCTGAACACAAATATTAGTGTTTCAAAACAGTAAAATGTATTACAACGATGATATCGCCAGTAAAAGTGAAGTTTTTTGCATTTTTCACGCACAAACAGCATTACACGGACAATATTATTGCTGTGATACTTTTTACTGTTTTGAAACACAAATATTTGTGTTCAGCGAAGTCTCCCGAGTACAACAGTACCCCTCATGTACAGGTTTTATGGTGTTTTCAAAAGTTACAGCGTCAAATATAAGGCTTGTGTTTCATTTTTTTCACATTAAAATTCGCCAGATTGGTTACGTTGCCTTTGAGACCCTATGGTAGCCCAAGAATTAAAATTACCCCTATGATGGCATACCATTTGCAATAGTAGACAACCCAAGGTATTGCAAACAGGGTATGTCCAGTCTTTTTTAGTAGCCACTTAGTCACAAACACTGGCCAAAATTGGCGTTTTTTGCATTTTCACACACAAACAAATACTAACGCTAACTTTGGCCAGTGTTTGTGACCAAATGGCTACTAAAAAAGACTGGACATACCCCATTTGCAATACCTTGGGTTGTCTACTATTGCAAATGGTATGCCATTATGGGTGTAAATTTCATTCCTGGGCTACTATACAGTCTCAAAGGCAACGTAACCAATCTGGCTAATTTCAATTTCAAATGTAACGTGCTATATTTGACCCTGTAACTTCCCAAAACGCCATAAAACCTGTACATAGGGGGTACTGTCTTACACGTGAGACTTTACTAAATACAAATATGTGTATTTTATTGCAGTAAAATCAAACAGTATTATGACACTGACCTTTAAAATGCAATTTAGAACTAAAAAAATCAAAAAAATCGTATTTTCTCCCATTTTTTTCATATTAAATTATGTTTCATAGCTAAATATTTGATATTAAATGAAAGCCCTGTTTCCCCTGAATAAAATGATATATAATAAGGGTGGGTGCATTTACTATGAAAGAGGTGTATTACGGTTGGACAGACATGTAGCGCAAATGCCAGGTTTTGTTTACATTTTGTTTTGTTCACAATGTGTACATTTGGCTCCGTCCTTAAGGGGTTAAGATGTATTACATTAATAAGTCATCACAATGCTAATGAAGAGATTGATGCTAATGAATTTAAAGTATTCTTTCCAAGTTATTTTAAAGTAAACTATGTTTCTATTGAATGAAAAGTTTGTAACTACAAGGTGGAATTTTAGTGAAAATTATAATTATGTAAACAAAATCAAATCTATGATAGAAAGATTTCTGGGTGGAGAATTTCTAGGACAATAAGTATTGTCAACACCATGAACATTATTTCAAGAATTATAATAGAACTTCATGGTTGATAACACATCCTTTGAATGAGACTTATAAGTAGTGTTGGTATATTTCAGGTAGTGAGAGCCTACTGAATATACAAATTAAATACTATGATTGTAAAGTACTGATACAATCATCACTAGGTGGTATTAATGGTATAGGAATGTGATTCATGAATACAAATGACCTAAAGATGTTAAGGTTGCTAGAAACCATATGATTAATGGAAATATAATTGGACCGGATATTATAGTAATACATGTATTAGTACTTAAGTAATATCAGGTATTGAGAATGAAAATACTATGCTATATGTGTCTGTAGGAATATGGTAGTGATACACAGTTATTATTATTTAGAAAGTTATCATCTTAATTTTGTTATCTACAAAGATATGACTGTACCTGAGCAGGTTGATCTTTCTGATTGCTTTATTGTTTATTGGATCAACATTTGTAAATATTTAATTTTATTCATTTATTATTGTTATATATATGTAAATATTATGTTCAAGTAGTTATGATGTAACATGGATATGGATATCAATACATAGCTGAAACAGAGGGATTTTGAAGTAAAGTAAGCAGTATGAGGGATAGAAACTCGACCTTCTAAGAACTCTCATATAATAGAAAGTTGTGACTACATCTTGTTCTATGCTCAATGAATGTGATACAAGTGATGTATGAATGGACAGGTTAGTGACATTGTGTTATGGTTTTAAAACAAACCATAAACAGAGGGAATGTAGAATATTGCATATTCTATGTTTCTATTGATTATATATGGATGTGTGGATTGACATAAGTAACAGATGGTATCAATAAGTCACAAGGCTTTCTTTGTCCGAGAGCTCTGGAATGTGGATGTGGGGGTTTTGTCCTTATATGGCTAGAGTTATATGCTGACGTTAGTATTGGCACTTCCTTATAGTAAGAGAGGGACACGAGGTGGCTCTCAATCTACTCTTGGCTTGGCTCTGTACAACGATGTAACTCTCCCATCAGAAGTCCAGCAATTACCATCTGCTGTTGAATGTCCATTATCCTGTAACATCATTTGTTGTTTTATGTATCCGTAACTAAGAATAAACCTGAAGAAACCGTAAGTCAGATTGCGTATTACTACTTTTCAATAATATAGACATATATTATTGTGGCGAGCATTTGGCCCAAGAATATATATACAAAAGACGTGTATATATATATATATATATATCAATCAACTGAAGACAAGAAGAAATTAAGAAAGAGTCTACATGAACATCCATTCATCTAGTTTTTTACATCGACCACAAGGCAGCAGCCATTTTAAAACACACGAAAGCCCAGCGGTGTTCGGCACTGATTTCATGGAACTAAAAACGGACACTTTTTCTGCCGAACACCGCTGAAACAAGGGGCACCTGGCTGCCTCGACGAAAGCGTACGAACACCGGCCGTTCGGGAGTTTTACAACACACGAAAAGACTTAACCCAGATAGCCTTCCCATGCAGTCAATCGCATACCGAAAGACTGTAAGGAATTTGTCTCCATGGCGATTGAACTATGCGTATGGGATCTGAGCGCTATTCGCCAATTATATGCCCTCAGATCCAGGCTATCTGGGGATATGTGATGCGAATGTGAAATGTTCGGTTATTATAAAGTTATGTATTTTTATGTATTTTCTGGCATTTTAAGATGGTGATTTGTCTTTGTCCTGGAGATAATTGAATTACTTCTCAATTAACTCCAGGGCAGAGGGGAGAAAACCATATTGCATTGTGGGAAAAGGTTACATCTGTATGTCTGAACTCCCACTGGAATATAACGTTAAGTGGATAATCCCAGCAGAGACGACATTTTACATTAAAATACATAACTTTGCCAATATTAATTTTATTTAGAGGAATGGACGTTCGGTAGATAGCTGGGGTCTGAGTGCACATTTCGTGAGAATACCGCTCAGATCCCAGACTAAACAACCGAACGCCGCACGAAATACACTTTACCATTGTGTTCGCCTAAAAATGGGGAAACCGGAATAGGGAAAGACCGGAGCTCCCGAACGGCATGGAAGCCCAGCGGGCTTATCTGTTAACAGAATTAAAATGTACATATTTTCCCCAAGTTCCAGATGTACCCCAAATACAGAGGGTACACCCCTAAATGTGGTATCCCCTGATAGCCCTGATCTGGGTGAATAATATATTCAAAAATCACCCAGATTGGACCAGGGTTTCGGGAGTTATAGGGGTTTAAAGTTTTGTGGAGGTCCCTTTAGGTCCACTGAAGCATGGCTTTCCAGCCCAAACCAGTTCCAACTAGTCTGGCAGTGTGCCTGGGACAACACCCCTGCTGGAGAACAGTGGGACAGGGGGAGGGGTACACCTTCCTATACACAGTCTAATTGAAGTCCATACACTGTGCTTAAAGGGCCAGTAGCCGCATAATAAAAATCCATCATGCCCAAATACTGTTTTAAAGGGCAATACCCCAGGGCCATAGTCACATGTCAGGAGGCGGGCAAGCAAGCCCCTCCAAAAGCTCATGGCAAACTCTCTTAAAGGGGTGAGTTTGCTACAGCCTACTCCTAACTCTACCCCTACTACCCCTAACCCTACTCACAACCCTAACCTTAATCCTAACCCTACTCCTAACCCTAACCCTATTCCTAACCCTACCCCTAACCCTACTCACACCCCTAACCTTAGTCCTACCCTACCCCTAACCCTAACAAACACAACCACTTACACATCTAGGGTTAGGGGTAAGGTTAGGGTTAGATTCCTGTCATCATTCACATAATTTTCCCTCCCTCTCTTGTTTTGCCACTTTTCAGAAATCCGAAGCACTTTGGCATTTCTTAAATTTGGCACTTCCGAAATTCAACACTTCTGCAATTCGAACATTCGGAAGCATCCAAATGTCTGAGTTGATGAAATTGGTCCTAATTTACATTCAGAACAAAACAAATTGCACATGTCTAGTGAGCAGGTTGGAGAGTTTTTTTATGGGTATGATGGGGTAAGAACAACTCCTACATGGTGGGTTAGTTCCCTTAGAGAAATATCCCATGGTACCTAGGTATCCACTATCTGTTCCGTCATTCCCGTGTACAAGTCATACATTCCCAGGTTGGATAATCGATAATGTATTACATATAAATTGAGTAACAAGCTCACTGCAATGTTTGGGTTGTAACTAACAGACACAAGACAACCTCCAACCAGGTAAATTTTTGAGGATGCAAACGTGAATTAAAATTTTCACCCATTGAATCATATGGGGTCGGATAGAATATATCAATGTAACCGTCTAGATAGATTCATAGGGCATGCTTGTAAACAATATTGCATACAATATATATATATATATAGAAAGTAACTTTGTCGCTTTTATCTAATATCTGTTGTTAAAGATTATGTTTTTTGAACGGAGTACTCTTTGTAAAATAATTCATATTAATAAATGTATAATTATAAATATTTATTGTATATTATTATGTATGCTGTATACATTATAATATATCAATTAGTTTAATTCCCTGTTATATCTTCACTCTCAAATACTTTATGCCCAAATACTGTATTTAAAGGGCCAAATCTCCCAGGGGCCATAGTCAGCAGGCAGGAGGCGGGCAAACAGGCTTCTCCAATGCCCAGTGGCGAGGTTGGTTTCGCCACAGCCACCAATATAAATTAAGCTATGGACATAGATAAATTGTCAACAGATACATTAATAAAATATTAAAATTTCAAAGCATAACTTTGCTGGCCTAAAACAGCTTTTGAGACTGTCAGCCAGATGGTATATATCTCGCATTATACAACATGTTGGCATCCAATGCTTTTCCGAATGATGGCATTCAATGCTTTGTATATGTTGGCTGGTATCCGATGCTTTGTATGTTGGGTGCGCATTCAATGCTTTGTCCGTTGGGTGGGATCCAATGCTTTGTCCGTTGGCTGGCATTCAATGCATTGTATGTTGGGTGTGCATTCGATGGTTTATGCGTTGGATGACATTCAATGCTGGGTGGCATTCACTGCTTTGTCCATTGGGTGGCATTCAATGCTTTTCACAATGAGTGGTATTCATTGCTTTGTCCATTGGCTGGCATTCAATGTTTTGTCTTGTGGGTGGGCATGCAATGTTTTGTCCATTGAGTGTGCATTCAATGCTGTGTATGTTGGGTGTGCATGCAATGCTTTGTCCGTTGGGTGGGATCCAATGCTTTGTATGTTGGGTGTGCATACAATGTTTAGTCCATTAGATGGCAATCAATGCTTTGTCCATTGGGTGGCATGCAATATGTTGGGTGGGCATTTAATGCGTTGTGCAATGGCTGGTATCTGGTGCTTTGCACATGGCAGTTTGGTGAGAATCTGCATTACAACTTGATACCTTTATCGATACACTGTATAGACTTTCAGAATCAGCTTTCCATGAATGGTAGGGACTATAGAATGTGCGTCAATAATTATGCAAATTACTTCTAATAAGTAGGGTTTGGATAAATTATGAATTCAATGTTAATTAAAATGAAAGTACAATTTCCTGATATTTGTTGGTTATTTTATTGTTTCTAAAGTAGCATGTTTAAGAAAGGCCACTTGTTCAGATCAATAGTATTGTAAGTGTTTGTGAATTAGCCTGCAAAGAGCAGATCTAGCATGATACTAGTCAAGAAACATTGTGATTGTATTGGCAGATATGACATTTCCTTCATTTTACTCAACATGATGAATACTTTAGTGTTGACCTTTGTAAACATACAAGATTTCAACAAAAATAATCTTCAACCTATAGGCATTCTTCCCAGCACAGAGAGGCAGGACGTTTTTTTTTTTTTTTTTAATTAATTTAATGCAGAATAAATTTTTATTTGAGCTGATTGGATTTGTTCATACATCCATTTGGTTTGGTTAAATGTCTTCATTCATATGTAATAATAAAAAAATTAAAAAAGAGCTTATGGGGTGAACGACAATGATCCCATATTAGTGTTTTAATAACTGCCACTGTGCTGCGGGTGGAAGCATGTCTACTAAAAAGTGAGCAACAAGCACATTGTAATTAAAAATTAGTGCTTGGACAACTATTGCTTCACAGTCGCTAGTAGTGGACATAGTGGACTTGGCACCCATCTCCCCTGTGCCCCCACCTGGTAGAATTGGGTGAGGGATTAAAATTAAATAATGGGTGGTGGACTGGCCACAGTCCAGCCCTGCTCCTTCCATGTGTAGACAGTTGGGATCTCTTAAATAAAAAAATGGGGAGGATATCCTATTGCACCCTCCAGATCCCACGTGTGAGATGGGGGCTTTTAATGCAATGATTTGAGGAACCTAGTGTCCTCCAGCCAACATCCATGAGCTGTGGGGATATTAACATAATAAATGGGGGGACCTAGTGCTTTCCTGCTGTGTCTGTTATGCTCAGTGACAACTCCCTTTTCAATCATCGTGTTGAGATATTTACGAGTTTGAAAAGGAAAGTCCACCAGCATTGGTGCGATCTTTCTCTGATTCCAGATAAGTGGTGCGATATACTTTGTGTTGGATCCAAACATTCATACATTGTGTGGAATACAAATATTTATAATGCAATCTAGATTAATAATCTGCTTTCAGTGATCACGCACAATGCAAGCATGGAAAGACAATAGGAATGTGGAAAATAATTCCATAGTGGTAGTACTGACCTTATGTTATGCGATTCATTGAGATAGGACATGTAATTAGAGTGGTAAATAATGCCATAACGGTGGTACGGGCCTAATATTATATGATACAGTAAACTAGGACATGTAATTAGAGCAGCAAATAATTCCACAGTGGTGGTACTGACCTTATGTTATGCGATACAGTGAGGTAGGACATGTAATTAGAGTGGTAAATAATGCCATAACGGTGGTACTAACCTTATGTTATGCGATACAGTGAGCTAGGATATGTAATTAGAGTGGTAAATAATTCCATAGCGGTGGTACTGACCTTATATTAAATGATACAGTAAACTAGTACATGTAATAAGAGTGGTAAATAATTCCATAGTGGTGACACTGGCCTTATGTTATGCGATACAGTGAGGTAGGACATGTAATTAGAGTGGTTAATAATTCCATAGCGGTGGTACTGACCTTATGTTATGCGATACAATGAGGTAGGACATGTAATTAGAGTGGTAATAAAGGATCTCTGTGAATTTAATTATTTTGTTTTATAATAGTACTGTTATAGATCAAGCGTAAGTCTTTAGAAGTGGTTATTTTTTCACAGCTGATATTAGCGTGGTTTGTTAGGAAGTTCCCTGTGGACAGAAATGTCTTTTCAAATCAACGCAACTTTCTCCATCCAAGCTTACTCCAAAAAAAGAGAACTCCTGAATGCACAGCAATGGTTTTCTGCCCGATACCATCAAATTCTAGAACAGGATATATTAAAATGATCCACACGCCCACTCCAAGTTTAGGAGCTTGGTGTTAGAATAAAAGTTATTTACTCATCTGCAGGAGAAAATATTTCAAAACGATTCAGAGGAATGTGTGGGAATTCCAATTCTCTAAATGAGTTGCTTTCCGAACCTTCCAATTGACCCTTATAATCTTCGTAAAACACAGAATATATCTTAATTTGAGGCTATGAATTTCTTTGGGATTATTACTTGGAAAAATTAAGATTTGTGCATAAACTGCTTGAAAACAGCCTTTTTTCACACATTGTACATCACTTAGATTAAATATAATAATGTAATTAAAACTCTTGGAGCTCCTCCTAGCTAGAGGAGCTCAATGAAAATGCTCTCTCACCTAAGGCCAATCCAATATGCAGCAATAATTTCTGCCCTAGAAGCTACATATTGTTGGTGTGTCTGAGTGTAATTGTTCTTCTAAATTACATTTTAGTTCTATCCATTATTAGTAAGCCAACTAACATTTCTCCTGACGATCTCTAGCATAACCAGTGTCCAGGTAAGCCTAGTCAGAGCCAGGTATCAGTCCAGATATAGCACAGGTAACAAGCAGGGTGATTATCCAGTAACCGGTGCCCAGGTAATCATAGTAACAACCAGGTATCAGTTCAGAAACAGCAGAGATAACATTGGGGAGGATTATCCAGTAACCGGTGTCCAGGTAATACTAGTAACAGCCAGGTATCAATTCAGAAACAGCAGAGATAACATTGGGGGGGATTATCCAGTAACCGGTGTCCAGGTAAACCTAGTAACAGCCAGGTATCAGTACAGAAACTGCAGAGATAAGATTGGGGAGGATTATCCAGTAACCGGTTTCCAGGTAATCCTAGTAAGAGTCAGGTATCAGTCCAGAAACAGCAGTGGTAACAAGCGGGGCGATTATCCAGTATCCGGTGCCCAGGTAATCCTAGTAAGAGCAAGGTATCAGTCCAGAAACAGCAGAGGTAACAAGTGGGTGGATTAACCGGTAATCGGTGTCCAGGTAAGCCTAGTTAGAGCCAGGTATCAGTCCAGATACAGCAGAGATAACATTGGGGGGATTATCCAGTAACTGGTGTCCAGGTAAGCCTAGTCAGAGTTTGGTATCAGTCCAGATACAGCAGTAGTAACAAGCGGAGGGGGAGTATCCAGTAACCAGTGTCCAAAGTTAGGTATCAGTCCAGATACAGCAGTAGTAACAAGCGGGGAGGGAGTATCCAGTAACCGGTGTACAGGTAAGCCTAGTCAGTGTTAGGTATCAGTCCAGAAAGAGCAGAGGTAACAAGTGGGTGGATTATCCAGTGTTACGGCTCCCCCGGTATGTGAGGGGTTACAGCCGTATGAGACGTTCCCATACCGAATGCGAAGGCAGCCACGGAGTGTTACAAAGCACTGAACAGTAGACGTACGGATGCAGCAGTTCCCTAGTAACCGAACAGCAAGTATACGAATGCAATATTCCTCCCAAACAGCCGAACAGCCACCATACGAATCAAATATTCTTCCAAACAGCCGAACACGCTTACTCCATACGAATAATCCCCCCAAAGACGAGACACAGCTATTGAGGGTCAGCAGGAATCTGGTTTAATGAGGGCTACATGCCCGACTTTTATGCAAGTCCCTCACCCGGTGGACACTCCCCTCGGGGACCGAATGGGGGACTGTGACAAGGACAATACATTAGCCAATCACAGAAGACGCAATAAGCCATTCCTCTTTTCTTGCCCAGAACCCCCTGCTCTGCCCGGGAAGATAAATGTGAAGTAATTCAATTATCTCCCAGGACAGAGCCTAAATGCCATTTAGAGTACTAAAACCACAAGTACATAAAAATACATAAAATTATATAACTGTTATATTTTACACGTTTTTATAGGCATTCCACAGGTCCCCAG